TTTCACCAGGGTTACCCCTACAATAGCCTTATATGGTGTATTTGGGGTGGTAATTATGCTAATCTCCTCTCGCGTGCACGAGCAGCTGGATAGAACAGGTGGAATTTACGCAGCTCATTTACGCACGTTTCCTGAAGATAGAAGTGTTTGTTGAATCTGCCGTGACATGTTCGTACGAACCCTTTGTACGAACAAAAGTGAGAGAAATTTAGGATAAAAATATGAACATGTTCTTGCATGAGGCCCAATGCCCCCGTTGAGAAATACTGTAGACAACTCCATGAAGGGACAGGAAATGTTCTGCTCCAAGCACCTTCAGCTCTGAGACAAGGGGAGCAGGAAAAGAGTTTAGGCAGATTCTGATGCAGAAGAGTTAGTTGGTAAAAGATTTTGAAGGTTTCCTCCAGAGGAAACCACACCCTCAACACAGCATGTTAGACCACTCAACCATTGTAAGACAGTATTACACATCAGCTGTTTGAAAGAAATAGTCTGATCTGAATAATGGTTGTCTATGGGAGACACAGCTGAGGGCTGTTTCACAATAACAGGATAGTAGATCAAGCAGGGATTTTCCAGGTATTCTGGCTGAATTAATCCTAGATTCAGTTTCACAAAAGCAGTCATGGTGATTTATCCTGTGCAGCTAGCCTGCTCCAGACCAGGCTAACAACCAGGCTTAGCATAGCCTGGTGTCTTATCTGTTCAGTCAGTGGTCTCACCCATCAGAAACATTTCAGTGTATCTTATCAGCCTGCAATAAAATACCACTGATTCACTTTAACATTCACTCAGGTACTATTATTATTTTAACATTATGATGGATGTTATAAATGTTAGAGTTTTCCATGTGGGGATTGTTACTGTTTGAATGTGTTTCTGAATACTGCTGTTCTAAGTTTGACAGGTCTTTAAAGGGCCTATGTTATGTGTTTCTCAGGCATATATTTAAACCATAATAAAGTATCTATGTCACCTTTAGTTGCTATTAAAATGCTGTTTTTATGTTTAAACGGAAAATAAACTTATCTTCTCATTACTTCCTCTTCTGAACGCCTTGAAATTGGCCTCTGTCTCTTTAAGAAGCTCCTTCCACTACCATTTTACCCATTTCGGTGCGGGGGGGGGGGGGTGTCTCCATGATGCAGTTTACTTGCATCTGAAAATACATTTCCTCAAAGGTATTTTTAATCTGAAAAGAGCTTCACTGAGTGAGAACTAATGTTGAGAGCTCAGCAGACAGTTTCTGTTTCACTTTCACTTTCACCCGAGAGCCTGCAGGAATCATGGGCGGGGTGTGTGGGGATGCGCTCTGCCATGAGGAAGTTCAGCTTAAAGACACATCCCAGGGGCGTTTCTGGTTCCAAAAGGTGTTTCTGGTCCCCACCTGTTGTTTTGCTCCTCAGCATGGCTTCATAAAAACACTGCAGGATTTCTCAAACATGCATGAATGAGTCAGAGCAAGGCTTTGGGCATGTTTTTTTATGAGAGTGTAACATTATAACATGATATAAAACTCAAAAAAGTTGATTTTACATGATATTGCCCCTTTAATAGACTATCACGTGTTGAGGGGTTTGAGAAATGACTGACAAAAAAGCAAAGGTGTCAATGAAGTCAAACCATAAGTAGCTCCAAACATGTCCTTTATAACGACGTCTGTTCTTGAATGACTGTTGATGATGAAGCGCAGGACAGGTCTGACCTGGTGGCTTTTCCGCACAATTACCGTCATGAACGTTACATTTTCTGTGTCTAACATCCTCTACCTGCGCAGATTGCTGGGTCACATACCATCCTGTAGAAATGTGTGATCATGTTGCATATTCAGTAGTGGAATGATGGACCATGCATGAAGGGGGCAGTTTGGGTGGGACACAGTCAGTGGCATAATCAAAGCTAAAGGAGGTGCAACCAAATATTAGTTAATTATTTATTTTGGTGCCATCTTTATTTGTAGCCAGGCAGTGTATGTGAGCAGCACCTTCTAAGTCATTACAAGTCATTTGTACTTTGTAGTCAACATTTGTTCCAGATATTTACCAGTCTGTAAAATGTTCTTTATATTTAATCTTGACCTGGTTCTGGGTCAGACTCTGGCTCCAACATGTAAGGTTGGATGAACAAGTCTTCTGTGGTTGACATCTTTTAATTAAACTGTAAATAAAACATTTCTGCAAGTTAGAAAACATAACACCCTCTCTCAAACCAAAGTGGACCGATCTGGACCTGGATGGGGGCGGGGCTTGAAGCACCTTAAATGAACAGTAACAAAACTAGCTACTTTTAAAAGTGTTGAAAGAGGAGCTGGTAAAGTTAGAATAAAGAGGAATTCAGACCAAAGTATTGTTGTTCCACTTTATAAAGACCCAACTGAAGGATTTAAATGTGTTTGTGTGCTATTATCTGGACATCCAAAAAACTCTTTAAGAAGTCTTCAGCTGATCCAAAATGCTGCTGCTAGAGTTTTAATGAGAGTTGGAAGGAGAGGTCATATTTCTCCAGTTTTATCTTCTCTCCACTGGTTCCCTGTCAAATTTAGAACAGAATTTAAAATATTCCTCCTAACATACAAAGCTCTTAACAACCAA